CCCCAGGGGTAGATGCGCTGAGGATGCCCCAGCTATGGCAGGCTCAGACTGGGCTGGCTATGGCTGCTGTCAACGGCGAGGTCTCAGGATGCCGCTTGCAGACCAACTCCGCCACCAACTTGCTTGGCTTCTCCAACGCTGCTTCGCGAGAAATGAACTGCCAAAAGTCCTGAACCGATGGGCCTAACCTATCTATAGACTACACTAGACCTAGACCGGACTGACTGACCGACCGGTACCGTTTTTGTTTCTGCCTGTCGGCCTCTACCGGACCCGACTATAGGCTATAGGACCGTCTATCAGCATAGGCCACTTAGGGCCTGTCTGTCTTAGGGGTGGCCCGAGCCTACTCTACGCAGTTAGGGTAGCTGTAGGAATTCGAGTTAGTACTGGTCCAATATTTTCCCAGGTTTGCAGATATGTCTCTCACGAATTTCCTTACAGGTAGGTCTCTCGGTTAGCCCTCAGCCAAACAAAATTACGAATTTATCCTACCGCTGTACTATACAGCCTCGCAGTCAATCTCGGCAGTAGAAATCAGCAAGTCATTGCACCCTCATGTCCTCAATGATAAACAGGATGCACTGTTGGCAAGGCGTACATACCTCACTCCTAGGTAGAACACTAGCTCTCAACAAGTCAATTCTAGCAATGATGTGGTACATAACCACCATATGGTTCCCTTCCTCGGACTACCAAAAACTAATACGTAAAAGAGCAGCAGCGTTCCTTTGGACCGGTAACCCCGACAATCAGCACTTCATTCACAAAGTGGCCTGGTGCAATCAGACTCGCTCTCATTCACACTTCTCATGCATGCAAACAGGTGTGCAGCAAACTGGCGACGAGCGCCCACTTAAACTCAGAGATATGGCAACCAAAATGCAGCTCAGATACAAGTTCACTTCAGATGGCTATGGCGACACAGCACCCACACAACTCTCTGTTCGCACACACAGGATCACCCTGGATATCCCACACACGATACGCTGTACACACACACACACACACGCTGAACTCTATCTACAGCTATGGCGGCTATGGCCGCTGCTACCCTATTGCTATGGCTATGCTCCTTCTCTCTCGCCCACTTCGTCTTCGGGCTCACTGCAGACGACCTAGCACAGGTCGCTGTGGCAGCACTTCCGCATGGCTCATGCAGGAATGAATGAATGGCTGGGCGCGGCCTCTTGATTTGTACTTCTGCAGCTCGTTGGTCTGGCCCTTTCCCATGCCTGTAGTGCACACAGTCCCATGCGGTACTTGCTTGACTGGACTAGGACTGACTGGGACTGGGACTGTTGACTCAACACGGGTAGACTCCACCACTTGCCCACTTGCCTCAGTCTAAACTTGGGCAACTTCGAAAGGCCACCACTCGGACCTTCTGGAAGGCCGTAGGCTTGGCCTTTCGATACTGTAGCAGCTACGACCTTGGCCTTTCTGGACTGTAGCAGCTACGACCTTGACTCTTCGGGAAATCTACAGCTATGACTTCTAGACCTGACTAAGACTCCTACTCGACAGGTCTACAGATCGAACCCCTGCTACCTATGGACCCTACGACAGTCCACCACCTGTTACAAATACACAGGTCACGGGTTCAACTCTAGGGGTCGACAAAAATACTGTACACAGGTAAGTTGGGGACTAGGGATCGAGCCCTGGGATCTGCATCGGCTACTGCGAACTGGTGAATACCGTTTCACTCCCGCCGGCCTAAATTCGAGGTCCTCCGACAATAATTCAGTCCAAGGCAGGACCTTTACCTTTCTTATCTCTCTCGTAGGCTCTAACTATGTCGGGAGTTGTCTCTAGAAGTTCTGCTCTAGTGAACCAGTGTTCGTCCTCAGGTTCCTGATAAGCAAACCGGACCTTATGCTGCTTTTGCGGATGGCCTCTACCTCCTGTTCTGAACACATCTTCACCTACAATGCCGTCAATGTCGTATCTTTCGTCCATGTCTGGGGGGATCATGGATCTCCTAGATGGAAACTGTTGACTCGTGACACACAGCAGCAACTTTGATGCATGAAATACAGGGTAGGTGTGGAGGTGTGTTGGGATCTCTACCGTGTAGGACGTCCCATCCTCTCCGCCCTTAACTTCTAGAACTGGCCACGGTCCTCTATACGCGGGCAGTAACTTGTGCGAGATGTTTTCCTCAGGAGCAAACTCTTTAGACTTGACCCAGACCAGGTCGCCTACCTGAAACTGTGACGGGCGACGGTGCTTATTAGCCTGTTCTATCATTCGGTGTTGGGCCTTCCTGAGGTTCAACAACAGTGGCTATCTCTCTCTCATGCTGTATCGCAAACTCCCTGGTACCGGTCGGTAGCCTGTGAATCTGGTCCCGGTTAAGCCCCTCAAACGGTCTGCCCGGTCTAAAGGACTTGTGCAACTCGTTGGGAGTGCGACAAGTGGACAAGTGCACGCTGTTATTGTACGCACTGGCTACCTTGGGCAACATCTCGTCCCAACTGATCTGATCTGGTCTAATGTACATGCACAGAACTTCCTACAGGATCTTGTTCATCTGCTCAGTCTGACCGTTAGTCTCTGGATGGCGGCCAGACGACATCAGCAACTTGGATCCATAGACTCTCATCAGCTCCTGCCAGTTCTGGCTAGTGAAGCGACTATCTCTATCGCTAACTATAGACAATGGGACTCCATGCTCACTAACCCAAAAGTCAAAAAACTTCTGAATCACTAACTCTGTACGGGCCTTTGCAGGCAAAGGAACAAAAACGACATACTTGCTAAATCTATCGAGTATAACCATGACTTGGCTCCTGCCGTGCCTACTCTTGACCTGTGTATCCATAAAGTCAATGGACACAGAGTCTCCGGGCTGGTCAGGAATAGGCAAGGGTCTGAGAAGACCTAGAGGGGCACGAGTAGTGCTCTTGTTTCTCTGACAGACTTTACAACTGCGGACATACTCTATGCAGTTGTTCTGCATACCAGGCCATGTATACGCATGCATCAGGTTGGCTAGAGTCTTTTGCCAACCGAAGTGTCCCTCTGTGTCGTGGCATTCCCCTAGGATCAAACTACGGATCTCCTCGCTGTTAGTGATGCACAGGCGGTCTACTACATTAGTCTTTTCAAATAACAACCCCTCTGTAGTGCGGTAATCTGGCTCGGTCTCTGGGGCCTCCTTAACCCTCTCGAGGAGGTCACTATAGATAGGGTCTTGCGCATACGCCTATCTAACTTTCTCCTGCAGGTCTCTCCCTATGTCCAGATAGTGAACTATAGCTCCAAAGTAGTCTGATCTCCTACTCAGAGCATCCGCAACTACATTGTACTTGCCTTTAACAGGCTTGAGCTCAAAGTCGTACTAGTCTATCTCAGCGGCCCACCTAGTCAACTTAGGTGTCATCTTGGCCTGTGTCTTTAGCCATCGAAGAGTCTCATGGTCTGAATACACCTTGAAGTGCCTCCCAAGCAGGTAATGCTTCCAGTGCTCTAAGGCCTGCCTGAGAGCGTAGAGTTCCCTTTCATACGTGGAGGTAGCAACCTTCTCTGAGGGCATCCTCGCTGACATGAACTCTACGGGTCTGTAGCCATTGTCGTCGTCCTGCTGTAACACAACGCCTATTCCATACCGACTTCCGTCCGTGGAGACGACCAATGGCAAGGACGGATCTTCTACTCTGAGGACAGGGTATTCTATCAACGTGCGCTTCAACTTCTTTAGCGCAGACGTACAGTCCTTATCCCATTGCCAGATTGCCTCTTTCTTGAGCAACCTGCGAAGGGGGGCGGCGATAGTCGAGAAGTTCCTCACGAACTTTCTATAGTAGTTAGCTAGGCCCAGGAACGACCGCAACTCTGTCAACGCGCGGGGCGTCGGCCAATCTCTAATCGTCGCTATTTTGTTGTCCTCAGGCTTAATGCCATCTCCGTCTAACACATGGCCCAAGTACAGGACTTGTGTCTTGGCCCACTCACACTTCTTTGCATTGATCTTGAAGTTAGCTTCTCTCAGCTTCTCCAAGACCTTCCTCAAATGACCCTGGTGCTCTTGGAGGGTCCTACTGAATACTAGGATATTATCTAGATATACTACGACGAATCTATTTAACCAAGGCCTAAACAGATCGTTCATACAACGCTGACATGTAGCAGGCGCATTGGTCAGTCCAAAGGGCATCACTATGAACTCATAATGCCCATTATGAGTCCGGAACGCAGTCTTGTACTGGTCATCAGGATGGACCTTTATCTGATGGTACCCGGACTTCAAATCTATCTTTGAGAAATACTTGCAACCCTGCACCCAATCTAAGAGATCATCTATCCTGGGCAGTGGCTCAACATTCTTAACGGTAATCGCATTCAGACCCCTATAGTCTATGCACATGCGCAACTCTCCTTCCTCCTTGGGGACAAACAAAACTGATGCTCCAAAAGGAGTCGAACTTGGCCTAATCCAACCTTTCTCGAGGAGCTCGTCCAACTGCTTGCGCAACTCCTCTAACTCCCTAGGGGACATCCGTAAACTGTTCCCTTAGGAGTCTTACTGCAAGGCCCTATCTCTATCCTGTGTTGGATCGGCCGCGGTACTACTCCTGTCGGCGGCTCTGCCAAATCTTTGAACTCTTCCAGCAGCTTGGCAATGGTTGGATCCATGAAACTATCCTCTTCCTTAGGCTCAGTGACAGGTCTGACATACACTACGAAGACCTGATCCTCTAATTGCTCCTTTCTCACTAGTCGTGCAAACACGGGAGCATTGAGACAGCAATGTGCCAAGGAGTTATCTACTCCAGACACATGAAATAGGCGGGCCGTCTTTACGTCGCCTGACGGACTAGAGAGCCTACACTCATGCTCTCTTAAGTGGAGTGTAGCCCCTGCTGCCTCTCCCCAGTCCATACCTAGGACTATGTCAAAAGGAAGGTCATCCTGAACGAGGAGAGTTAGGGAATGGAGAACTTTCTCCACCTTCCCATCTTTCTCTAGGCGGAAATACGCCTGGACTCCCTCTACGTAGTCCTCCACACGCATAGTGCGGTTGTCTGCGAGGACACTAACTATGGGGTCTTCTAACTTTTGGACTTTCAATCCTAGCCCCAACTTCTTCAGTGCTTTACGGCTAATATAACTGCGGGTGGCCCTTGAATCTATAAGGGTCCCTACTCTACTTCTAAAAACCTCTACGGCAACTAACACTAGCTGCCCTTTACTGTCTTTCTCCATTTTGGCCCAGACGGGCATTCTCTCCTTCAACTCTTCTGCCACGCCTGTGAGGGAAGTGCCTAGAGAGACACTAACACAAGCAGTCTCTGGACAGCTAACTAGGCACGAGCCTGCAACCTCTGTCGAAGGCTCATGTGGTGTGGGAGTTTCCTGTACGCGTGCGCTCGCTTCCCCACATGGCCTAATAGTAGGGGCTGTTGCAACCCCTACCGGCGGCTGCCTTTTGACTCCTAGGCAGCCCACCGGGCCTGTCTATACTTAGGACAATATTTGATGATATGGGCAGGGTCACCGCAATAAATGCACTGCCCCTGCTCCATACGCTGTTGCCACACTTTCTGTTCCATGCCCAGATTTTCCCAAGGTCGTCCTTGTGGCCAACCTGGGTGCCAACCTCCTGACCTCTAAGCTGACCTGCCACCTCGTCGTTGTGGGGACCGACTGGGACCTTGACAATTCGGCGGGGGACCTTGACCCCTACCTCCCACTTGATGGTTCCCTTGACCGCCAACCCCCTGTGCGCCCGATCCTCGGCCTCCCATGACCTGGCCGCTTTGGCCCTGGCCTCCTCCTCTACCTTGCGGCCTCCCTCCAGCCGTGATAGCTGCATAGGACCTCCCCTGTCCTACGCTACTGTCCTCCTCCTCGAGTCCCCACTCAATTTGACTGTAGGGGACCTCGTTTATACCACCTTCGTCTAAAGTAAGGATCAAATGATCCTTGGCCTTGACCTGGCCAGAGATGGTACGACCCTTCCACTTTTTACCCTTATCCAAGTCCTTATGCCAGAAAGTGGTAACTGGCATGGACCTCGCCTCATGCAACACCACCTCTCTACGCAGCGCCTCGTACGTCATGGTGGGCTGTTGACTCTTGTCAAAGAAGTGCCCTCGCAAGGGCTCTGGCATGGCACGATAAAACAATTGGACGAATTGGGTCTCAGTGACCCCATGGTCCGGGACGGCTACCAAGCCGTCCATGACAGCTTCGAGTGCTCGCGCACTCTTCCACTGTCGTGAGTGGATGGTCTGAAGTTTATCTGAGGCCCCGACGCCTCTCGTGACAATAGCAAACCTCTCACGCAGGAGTTTGAGAAAAGTAGGGAGTGGGGTGAGCCGAGAGTACGCAATCATGTTGTGCTCGCAATCGGCGGCGTGCGCTAGGGACCTGACAAAACTTGTCACTTCGTCCTTTAACGCATGGAAGGTGACAAGGACTTGCTCCTCGGGGGCAATATGCTGCAAATACACATAAGTATTGACACTGGCTTCCAGTTGTCAAAACTTTGGTCCTTCTTCCCGCTATAAGCATCAGGGAATTTGAGCTTTACGGGCTCTTTGCGGGTTCGCGCTGCGGCCTCTGCAGTGGCCACCACTTTGGCGCTTTCGATGGCGCCTGCGCAGAATTTGTCTACGCCTTCCTTTAATCTTTTGATCTCGGACCCGACATGGGTCGCTACATCGCGCGCAAATTCTCTAAAACCAGACCGAATGGCATGTAGGGTCACATCTTGACCCTTGTTGGCCTGATGCCCCTCCAGCCAGGCCTCACTCAGGACTTCGAGGTACCCAAGATCTTATCTAATTTTGCGGGGACCTCTGTTTGTGCCTGCACCTCCTGTCTGTAGGCTTGAACCCTCTCCACTTCTCCGGCCACCCGGTTAGTCTCCTCTCTCCTCCTTTTCTTCTCCCTTATCATTCGTAGTTTCCATCCCACTTCTTCTCGTCCTCTGTTGTCTGCGTTCCAGGGGATGTTCTATTGTTTCCAACTCGCTGGCAAACGCTTCCCTCTCCTCCTGCGGCACGTACAACTGTGCCTCCTCGTCCTCCCCCAATGATAAATTAGCCACCCACTCCGTTATTTTCTTCTCCATCCACGCGTCCTCTCCCTTCGTGCCATTCGCCTCTCCTCTTTCTTCCCCATGCCTCCTCTCAAGGGGCTCTTCTTCTACCTCCTCCTCTTCTTCTGCTGCTTCTTCTTCCTCGACAACCTTCCTCTTCTCTTCCTCCTCCTGTAACAACATCATCATCTTCTCCTTCTGGAATCTCAACATCTCCTCTTCTAACTTCCTCTTCTTTGCCGCCTGCTCCTCTGCGATAGCTTTTAACGTCGCCTGCTTCAGGAGTTCTTTTTTCTCTCTTCTCTCTCTCAGTATGGCAGCGGTCCGGGCCTGTTCGGCCTCGGAATGGGGGGCAGTACTCTTCCCGCTACGGGTGTCAACCATGGTGTCTGGTGTACAACCGGTCAACGGTTCCACTCCTCACCACTTAGACTCTACTCCCCCTGACTGACAAACCTACTGACTCAACTGCGAGGCCAATGCCTCTATGAGCCCCTTATGGCCCCATTCTGAAGCAAGTCGGCCGCCCTAAGTGAAGGCAGGCTCGACGAGGCCCTCAGGGCCCTGTTTTGGTCACCACGCAACTCAAGGAAATTCAGGCAGTTGCGCAGCGCCAGTTGGTTGAGAGAACCCAGGCCCTGGGCCGCCTGTGTGAATGTATGGAAAGCAGGCCCTGGGCTGGATACAGGTACTGGGCCGAACACAGGCCAAAGGCAGCTGGGCGCATGCAAACACCTCAGGCCCAAGGCCTATTCTCGTTTGTGTTGGGCCTTAGGCTACCGGGGCCTACTGGAAGCTTCCTGGGACTGGACGCAGGCAGGCCACTTCGATATAGCAAAGGGCCTGCCTCCGCATTCGCGATTCGGATGCTGGCTACAGGTTGCGCAAGCGCTGCTGCTGCGCTAATTGCTGGCTGGCGCCTACGCGCTCACGGGCGAGCAGGGAAGGAGCAGGCAGCCATAGCCGAGCTGCGCTGCTGTAAGCTGGGTGTGGCGCAGGGTGGTCCTTGGGTGCAAGTGGCATCCGTGTGTTGGGGAACAAGGTTGTGAGTAAGGCGAGAGACATACCTGGTGCTGGAAGCGTGCGACATTGGTCGCTGTATGCTCGTACTTCGGGAGAGCTGTTGTCGTCAACTTCGACATTGTAGTATAGGCTAGATAGGATTTGCCACATGTAGTTTGGGCGTCGAGCGCCAGATAGGATATCAACTCTGGTTCTTCATTGATGATGATGGGACTATTTCAGCATTGTCAATTATGAACTCTTGGTGTGTTCTTATTTGATGAATCTCGTGATGCAATTCTGCTGTTGGTTCGAGGTCACGACTATCTGGACCCATATGTCTGATGCTGTTTGATTGTTGAGGTTCGCTATTGCTCATCTTCCTTGCAATTTGGTATCGGAGTTGTGGTACGATTGCGCTCATCTGGCGTTTGTCTTCTGCCTGGTACGGTACATACATGCGGTCTGCTTTGCGAGTTTGGCCATAAGTGGTGTGTGGTGAGGAGGGCGGAGACGAGTGGTTGGCGACCCAGGAGGTGAGGGGATCGCTAGGAAGGCTACGTGGTGTAATGTGGGTGTTGGACAGTGTGATGAGAACTATCTAATGTGTGATTGGTGCTGAGGTGGAACGGCGTGCAATGCTGGTTGTGCCGAAGCAATGACTCGTCATCACAATCGGCATCAGGTCATCTGGTGAGATTATCTCTGTGGTTGGGGGCAGCTATTTGAGGTATGTTGCTCTTAACCTTATCTACCCTCTTCGACACTTCTTACCGTGAGGTTGTGTGTTCCTTCTTGAGAGTCCTCTCATTGTGAGGTGTCGAGTGCGCTCAACCTTGAAAGTCGGCAATGTTCACGTGGAAGATGGGCGGAGCTTTTTGAAGGGCCCTGGACGAAGCACTGGGTCACGGAAACCATGCCAACCCACCGGGAGTAGAGCACGCATGCTTTGATGCTTGTCCTTTGTTTGGCTTGCTGCGCTGTTAGATGGGTACTGAAGGGCAGACCAGCCCTTAAGGGAGACGAGACCAAGCGTCTTTAAATAAGCACCGGAAGGGGAACCATTGGTTGTGATCGTTGTCCGGCTGCGACGTAAAATAATTCCTGGAGTCACTTGGGGGCGGGCGTTAAATTGCCTCTGGATCAGCCAATGGTTGTAAGGCTCGCTGCACGCGAGGATAATCCAGTGCAGGGCTGGCCAGCTCAGCAGATACTCGGGGCACAGGGGTGGGCCGAACACACACCTTTTAGACACGCGACGCTCTCCAGATTGCTCAGGGACGCTGACGTCAAGTGATACTCAGGGGAACTAAGGGAGGGGAAGATTTCAGGTGATAAGTTCGAGAAAATTCCATGCTGTCCTATCCACACAAATGATTCTATTTTTATGTTTTGATTAGTTAGGTGTACAGCCATTGACATCTGACAGACACCATTAGTTAGAACTGTTTCTTGTTCATGGTGCTTCTGTTTGCGGACTAGTCAAACTAAAAATAGTTTTATTTGTAGGAATCTAACTTACCTGTTGGGCCCGAATGTAAAGTCTCTGAAATAGCCACCAGTTAATTGGTCTGTGCACTACGCTGCGGTAGGCATTTAGAGTGCACTAGTGCAGATTGTGTACAGGGCTGTAGCTTATGAGTGACGAGGAGGACACTGGAGAGGACGACCGGAGGATCTTGCGATCGGCTAGACGCCCAATTGCCCACTTTGCAGAGGGCGACAAATATTTGTTCCGCCAGCTTAGGGAGAGGCAGCAGCAGCAGAGGAGGGCTAGAGCAGTAGAGGCTAGCAGGGCACTAGTGAGTGAGGCCGCCGCTTTGGAAGCCATTGCCACTTTTGTGCAGCAGACTACTCAGGCCGGTAGTTCAGGGTCTGTCAGATCAACGGTCACGCAGACCCAAAGTCAGTCTGCTGGCGTAATGGCAAGCCAGCCACTAGTGTTGACGTCCGATGAGATCGCCATACAACAAGCAGCATTGCAGGAGGCACAACTACAGAAGGCGTTAGGAGATATAAAAGCGGAGAAAAAAAGAATGATTAGAAGAAGAGCCAGGATGCAACGAAGACAAGCGGACGTTAGTGGGTTAGAGGAGATGGACCTGACGCTCGTGACTGATGAGGTGAGGATCGTACGCTGAATGTAGTTGAGATGCAGGACCATCAGACAACCATCCTTCAGGACATCCAACAAAGTCTGGCCCTGTTGGCTGGGCAAGCGCAGGCTACGTCGCCAATGTCCGGGCCTGGTGCCTAGTCCGTTGTACAGCCTCCTCCTTTTGTCCCACCGGTGATTGGGGTATCCCCATATGTAGTCCCATCATCGGTTGCTATCGTTTCCCTGGGCATGCCGCTATCAGGAGGGATCACAACAAGATCTAGTTTGCAGGTTCCGGTACAGACAATGTTCACCCAATCTTCGTTACAAGTTGTGGTTACCACGCAGCCTGCTGTCTCGCAGTCTGTACAGCCGTAGGGTACACAGCCCCAGCAGCTAGCACAACAACCTGTGTCACAGGGTCCACAACCCGGAGTGATGCAGGGACCGGGACAAACACAGTGGGTGCCAAAGACAGCCATCGCCGCTCCGAAACCCTTCACAGGGGATAAGAGAGGTGAAGACCTCGACACGTGGTTGAGGGCAGTGCCAGTCTATGTTAGGTGTAAACTTACCTTGCCGCACGAAGAAGTGCTTGTGGCTGCCTCCTACCTAGAGGGTAGTGCAACAAGATGGTTGAGTGGTTTAAGGGGTATGGTCATGACTTTCGCGCTTGGGCGGTCACCCAGAAATTGGATGACTTCCTTAAGCTGGTGGAGGAAAGGTGGCATGATCCTCAGGAGGCCCAAAGGGCTACTGACGCGATCCTGACACTGCACACGTGGCAGTTCAAGTCAGTAAGGGAAGCCACCGACGCTGTTGAGCGTCTGATCTGTGTCCCAGGGGTGCGCTATGACCCCCAGGTACTACTCACCTCCTACCTGAGATGCTTCTCCTTGCCTCTCAGGAACCTGTTGGCAGGTGAGGCCAACATCAATATGCACAACTTTCCTTCGTTTAGCAAGAAGGCCCTAGACCTTGAGGCGAAGATAGGGCATGGACAAGCACCCACTACAGATAGAAGGAGGAAGACACTGCCTCCTAACTGGAAGGCGAAGGGGCGCATTATGTTTGTCGATAATGATGGTTCTACCATCGAACTAGACGACAACTTCCAGGAAGGAGTAGGTTCAGAGGCAGGCAGCGCAAAAGTTTCAGAGGGTGTAGTCGCTGCCGTAACTCAGAAAGGTAAGGCGACCGGTAAACGTCGTGGAGGTTCCCGGTCTAGGAGTCAAGTAGAACCCAATGCTCCTCCATGGGAGAAAGCGGGTCTCACCGAGGACATGTGGAGAGATCGGTACACACGACAGGCTTGCATTCGTTGTGGCCAATATGACCATAATCAGTTCAAGTGTCGTAACAAGAAGGTGACCAACAAGATCCCGCCTACAATGGGGCAGGCGGTAGGATCCTGCCATTCCGTCGGTAGCAACGTTGCCAGCACTTCAGGCACTGCTCCGGGAAACACGTCGGGCCAGTAGGAATAGTAGTTGTTCCTGCTAGGGTCGAGGTGGTGGAGACACCCTCACCATCTCGAGAGATGGCCCAAGCTACTGACTCCAGCGTCGCCCCGCAAACGCATTCAGACCCATCGAGCCTCTGTTCAATGAATGTGTTTGAGTCCTTAAAGGAGCTAGAGGAGGAGTGGTCTAGATCAGACCCGCTAGCTTCTTGGACGACCCTAGTCAAAGCCCCGAAGGGTGAGATGTTCGTCAGCGAGGTGGTCATTGGCGGCCGCAAGG